AAGGACCCTCCAGCACCACTGCAGAGGGGGACGGTGGACGTGGGGCCCAGGGTGTCCCAGGTCCCAGTCCACAGACGGCGGCTCCACTCCTGGGCCGAGGGGAGGCAGGACATCATGGAGGAAGAGTGTGGGGAGGGAGCAGCTCCCATGGGGACCAGGGAGCAGGGACTCCACTCTCCAGGGACCAATAGAGACCCCAAGCCACAGCCCCAGGGCCACCTCCTCCTCCACACCCCACCTGCCTCCAGGGGCCACCAGGGGACCCCCAGGGAGCCATTCCCTGCCGGGGTTCAMGCCTCACACCCCCTCACTCCTCCTCTGGACCTTCCTGTGTCACCTCCCACGGGGACTCTGGGGACAKGGTGTCCAGCCCAGGACAGCCGGTGTGGGACGCCATCCCACCAGGTGGCTTAGCCAGAGAGCTGCCTTGGCACAGAGCCGGCGCCTGGAGTCAGAGGGACTTGTGTGGGTTCCCTGGCTCTTTCGCCGCTTGCTGTGTGACCCTGGGCAGGTGGCTTCACCTCTCTGAGCTCTCTTCCCTCGGGGCTTTGCTAGGCTTGGCTGTGTGACCCTGTGACCTTGGGCACATCAGTTCTGTTTCCTTAACCTATAAACCCTCCTCCTCCCTTCACCTCTGTGACGTGTATACAGTAGGCACTCTCCCATTTCACAAATGAGCGGACTCGCCTGTAAACGGGAGGTTATCCCCGGCTCATAGCGAGGTGTCCTGACAATCTGTGACAGTCTCACTCCCAGATGGCACGCAGCCTGCAGCGGGTGTCCCCGGCCCTGGCCCCCACCCAGTGGCTTGGCTGACCAGGGAGGCCCGGGAGGCCCGCTAGGCGGGTGGGGACGAGCCAGCACCTGTGCCCAAGCGGCAGGGTGGCCCATCGCCCAGCCTCAGGGGGTTCCCCGTTGTTGGTGGCACTGTGACAGCTGGCTGCTGTTGGAAAGCCCTTGCCGGCCCCTCCCCCCACGTGGGAAAAGTCACAGAATCCTTTATGCAAGTGACTGCCAGGCCTGGAGCTGGGGACCACGGGGACAAGGGAGGGACACTGCACCCAGGAAGCACCTGCGTCACCCAGGCTGAGTTGCCACCTGCACCCGGCACGCCGGCTCCAGCCCTGAGGCTCAGGATGGGGACCCTGTGGCCCCTGGGTGGGGGGAGCTGTCAATCAGAGCCCGTGTCCCTGTAGCCCCAGGTGGCCCAGCCCGGGGGGCTTTGGAGGGACTCCCACAGGGGACAGGCGCTAAGGGCTGGTCTGGCTGAGGCTGTCCATCACGGGCTCCCGTTTGGTGACGTCTTTCCAGGTTGGCCTCCACAGCTCCCCAGGCTCACCCCCAGCCTGTCCCTGCTGTCACCAGGGGTGACCAGGACAGCCAGGCCAGCCTCGACGTCTTCGTGAACTTGGTGCTTTACCCTGGGCCGTCCCCAGCCCTGTTCTGGGTTTAAAGACAGGGTCACCCTGAGCTGCTGAGGGCCTTGCTAAATGTCTGAGGCTGGCCTCCGAGTTGCGATCCTCCTGCCTCAGCCTCCAGGTCGCTGGGAGGACAGGCGTGGCCACCACACCCTGCTCCATGGGGCGCAGCAAGGCACTCAGATCCCGTGACCAGGCCTGACTTCCAGTGGCCTTGATGCTCCTGCTGGCCACCAGGACACTGCTTGTGGCCCTCAGGCTAACAGTCCTGGGTGCCCCGTGGCCCTGCGGGTCACCCCCAGGGTAGGGTCCCCGTTCCTGGAAGGAGCGTCCCTGCGGTCACCCCCAGCCTCTGGGAGTGAGGCTCTGGCCCTGACCCTCCCCCCGCAGCTGTGGGAAAATGGACACCAACTGTCCTCCCTGCAGAGGGCCTGGAGCCCGGAAGGTGGCCTCTGGATGGCTGGACAGGCCCAGGCCCTTGGTGGCAGTCAAGGTCAGCCGAGCCCCCTGCTGGCCTGTCCCCAGCTCTGACCTCCCTGTCCTTGGCACTCTGTGGACTCTGAGGGGCCACCCTGCTCCCACCCAGGAAAGGTGGCCRAGGGACACCCTTGTCACTAGTCCCCACCTGCCTCCGGTCCCCTCGTGGGCTCACACAGACCCCGGGGCCAGAGACCCCTCCCCTCCCGCCCTCCCAGACCCCAACCCAGCGGCCTGGGCCCAGGCACGAGGATGGACAGCGGCCCACGTGGCGTCACCGTGTCTGTCCCCGGGCTCCCGTCTGTCCCTCCGTCCCTGGGAGGCAGGGGACCACCCCAGGAAGACACGGCAGCCAGTCCAGTCGGGAGCCTTTATGGGTCTCGGGGACAGAAGCCCCACAGTGACAGACTGCGGCCTGGAGGTCCCTGGCCGGCACCGGGCACAGGTGACCTTGGGGCCCTGGGGTCAGATCCAGGTCACCACGGGGGGGAGGGGGGAAGGACCCTGCTGGGCCTGGGCTCTGCTGCAGGGGGCGGCGTGGGGACAGCCTGGGATCGGGGGACCCTGCCCGGCCCCAGCACGGGACGCGAGGGACGCTGCGGGAGCCCGTGGACACATCTGGAGAGAGGGCCAGGTCAGCTGACCAGCGTCCCCAACCCCCGTGCCCAGGGCAAGGTGGCAGTCACCCCACACCCGAGGGGACCCTGAGTGTCCCCTTCAGGGCAGTGGTGGGAACGGGCCAGAGGCAGGCACTCGGCTCTGGGCACAGGGACAGGAGGAGGACCAGGACCCACCCCAGCYGCCACCAGCCTGGGACAGAGACCTCTCTGCCGCCGCCCTGGACACCCCGCCTGGGGCCTCGGGTCTGTGGGACCTGGCTTGGCCCCACTGTCCCTGGTGTCCCCTCCCCGGCCGCCTCCCTGTCCCCCCCCGCACCCCCCAGGCCCACTTTAGAGCCCCAGGCCGTCCCCAGGACCTGCCCCTGCGGCTGAGTGGCTGAGCCCCGGGGTGTCCTGGGCCCCTCTAGTCACCACACGGGGACCCCGCGGGAGCAGGCCCAGACCTTGCTTTATTGGGGGGACCCCAGACTGGAGAGCCCACCTGCGTCCCTGCCCCAGGTCCCACGCCACACGGCCGGGGACACAGGTTCCCCGGGGCGCCTGGCGCTGGGCTGTCCTCGGCAGCGTGGCTCCTGACACCTGAGGCGTGGACAGTGGGACAGCCACCTGCGACTGGAGGACAGCCCAGCAGGGTGGAGACGGGACCTCCTCTGTGCACCGACCCGGGCCCCCCGGCCTCCTGGCCTCCTGGCCTCCTGGCCTCCTCTCCTGTTCTGAAGACCCGCGGCCTCCACAGGGCCTGGTCCAACCCTGGACCCCAGGGGATCTTGCCTGGCCGCTGTCCTGCCCACGGGGACCCGGGACCCGGGTGGGGAGCAGAGGGGCCGCGGYGGGCCCTCCTCTGGCCCAGGCGGGGACGGCTCGGCCCTCCTTCCCCTCGGTGCGCTGGGCGCCCAGGGCCCCACRGGGTGGACACGGCACTAGAGCAGGTGGTGGCGGGCCGGAGACAGGCTGGTGCCACCTAGCGCAGCGCAGGTCACGACACCGAGGGCGACAGCAGCAGGGTGTCTGAGCTCTGGGTGGAGATGCTGGGCGACTGGGGCCCGATGAGATCCAGGTGGCGCAGGTTGAGGATGGAGTCGGCGATGATGCGGGCCGTGCGCTTCTGGTAGCCCCCCGAGGTCACCATGAGGATCGGGATCTGCCGGCTTCGGACCACCCGGAACACCAGCTCGTCCCGCTTCACGATGCCCTRCGCGGGGATGGGGAGTGGAAGTCCTGCTGCAGATCTAGCCCTGCTCCGGMCTGCTGTGGCTTCCACCCACAGGCTCCCAGCTTTCCTGCGGCTGCAGAATCTCCCAGAGCCCGTGCCCCCCGCCAGCATCAGGACCTACCTCTGGGCTGATGGCCAGTCCCCCGAGGCGGTCCCCCTCGAGGACATCGGTGCCAGCGTTGTAGATCACCACGTCCGGGCTGTGCTCCTGCAGGGCCTTCTCCATGTTCCTCTCCACCTTGTGCAGGTACTCCTCGTCCTCCGTGCCCCAGTCCAGCTCCACCTTGCGCCTGATGGCCTCTGGGACAGGGGGACACAGAGTGCCCATGTGCAGGGGGACTGGGGCTCAGGATGGGGAAGTCCGTGAGCCCTCGGGACTCAGTCACTTGGACCACACTCGTGGCACTCACCCGCACCCCAGGCAGCAGTGGCCCTGTTATGGTCTGGGTGTGGGGTACCACCCAGGCCCASGGGAGAAAGGCTGGTAGACAACCTGTGGCAGCACCAGAAGGGGCTGGACCTTTAAGAGGCGGAGCCAAATGGAAGGAAGTGATGTCACTAGGGGCGTGGCAGGGCCTTTAAGAGGCAGAGCCAAATGGAAGTGATGTCACTGGGGGTGTGGCCAAACCTTTAAGAGGTGGAGCCAAGCAAAAGGAAGTGATATCACTGGGGGTGTGGCTGAACCTTTGAGAGGTGGAGCCAAGCAAATGGAAGTGATGACACTGGGGGTGTGGCCAAACCTTTAAGGGGTGGAGCCAAGCAAAAGAAAGTGATATCACTGGGGGTGTGGCTGAGCCTTTGAGAGGTGGAGCCAAGCAAATGGAAGTGATGACACTGGGGGTGTGGCCAAACCTTTAAGAGGTGGAGCCAAGCAAAAGAAAGTGATATCACTGGGGGTGTGGCTGAGCCTTTGAGAGGTGGAGCCAAGCAAATGGAAGTGATGTCACTSGGGGCGGRGCTCCASTGCTCTCTCTGCTGCCCCTCTGCTCTGCCACAGGCCCCAAGCCATGGAGCCAACTGTCCACAGACCTGAGCCCTCAAAACACTGATCCAGACCCACCTGTCCTTCCTGTAAGGTGGCCACCTCAGGTGTTTTGTCACAGAGGTGAAAAGCTGAGGGACCCACAGAACGGGCAGGTTTCCGCCCTCCAGCCTCATCTGGGCATCTCACACTAAGTTGCTGAGGCTGGCCTCCACCCCCTAATCCTCCTGCCTCAGCCTCCCGAGCTGCTGGGATTACAGGCTGTGCCTGGCTCTAGTGACTTCTTCAGGTCCTAGCGTCCTGATGTGTCAAAAGGGAACAACCCCCACCTTGTAGGGATACTGAGAAAAAAGRAGGAGGCTTCTATGGGGTTCGGAATTTAGGATGCTCAGGGAGGCGTCCCCCTCTGAGTAAGCATGCATTGGGGATGCAGGGGACAGCAGCTTACGCTTGGCAAAGCGGTCCCCGGGGTAGATGTGGCGGTTGTAGACGTCCATGATGTACACGCGYTTGTCGTCCATGAAGTCCCTCTCGTGCCCGTTGCCCTGGGAGGACAYGGAGGCTGCTCTGGGGCAGGAGCCCTGGGGACGCAGGACTCGCCCACCCCACCCTCCCGTGTGACACTCCCCTGTTCGGGGCAGCGTAGCTTGCCCTTGAGGACAGAGGCCTCTGGGGCTGGGATCCAGACTCGGACCTGGCCTCCGATCTACAGGAGGACCCCAAGGAAGCCAGGCCTCTCGGGAGTCCCTACCCCGCCTCCTGCTCCAGTCTGCGGGCGCCAGGGGGGATCGGGGATAAGAAAAGCCAGCTGTGAAGGGCTGAGCAGTGTCACCTGACCTGAGGGGGCCCGGGAAGTGTGTGCGAGCCTCGGCCTAAGGGACAAGGGTGTCCGGAGCTCATCCGCGCCATGCAGGAGGCGGCACTCAAGTGGTTGGAAAGCAGTAGGGAGCCACAGCAGGTTATAGAGCACCGTCAGCCCACGGCTCAGGACGAGCCACTGTGTGGTGACGGTGAGGAGGGAGGAAGACCCCAAAGCAGGACCTGTCCCCCTGGGTGGGCTGGGAGGGCACAGGGACAGAGAGTCCCTCCACCCGGGCCTGAGAAGCAGAGGAGGGGACAGAGGCCTCGTGCAGGAGGTCCCTGGAAGGAGGGAGGCCTCCGCGTGGGGTTGGGGTGGACAGGAGCTGCTGGGGACGCAGGGGGGGAGTCCCTGCCACAGGGGATGGGGGCGGGGCTCCCACGGGCGCTCACCTGATGGGCATCGAGGTCGATGATGGTGGCCTTGGAGACGCCGTCCACTCGCTCAAAGAGGAACTGCCAAGGGAGGGGCGGGCAGGCGTGAGGACCCGGCAGGGAGCAGGGCAGGGGGACGCGAGGGCACAGGGCACAGACCCTCTCACCAGTGGGCCCGAAGGTCGCTGCCCGGGAGAGCTGTGTGGGCAGGGGTCCAGCCCCGGGCCTCCCACACTCCCCTGGAAATGCACAGAGCTTGGGGGATCCCCCAGCCTCGCACTTGGCTCCCCAGACTTTCTGACACTGGGGCCGGGGGACCTGGCCCTCTGAGCYGCGTCCCCAGCCCTGTTCTGTGTTTGATTTACACACAGGGTCTCACTGGGTTGCTGAGGGCCTCGCTCGGGCTGAGGCTGGCCTCCACCTTGCCATCCTCCTGCCTCGGCCTCCCCAGCTGCTGGGATGACAGAKGGGCCCTGAGGCCTGTCTTCCCCAGCCTTCGCCTCCTGCAGGGCCGAGCCCTCGAGCCTCCTCTGGAAGCCTCCTTCCTTCCTCTCCTGCCCTTGGGCCATGGTGGCTGAGCCCCGGCCCGTCCCCACACCCAGCATGAGGCCACTGCAGAGTGGCTGGGGGCTCTGGGGTCTGGCAACCCTGAGGGCCACCCTGGGAGTCACCCATGTGGGCCCAGCCGTGGGGGACAGCTGGCGGGGGTGGGTGCCRGCTGCTGCCAGGTCCCTGTTGTCGGGTCCCTTGCTATACCCCTTGGCCCCCTGGGCCCCTACCTCACTGACCACCCCCGGCCAGTGCCTGGCCCCACAGAACTCAGGACTCCGGGCCCCTGGAGCCTGGTCCCCGCCCACGTTCGGGGACACACCTTGATGGCCAGTGTGATGTCYGCGTAGGCACAGAAGCCCCCGCCCCGGTCGCTAGAGCAGTGGTGGAAGCCGCCCCCTGCAGAAGGCAGATGGCGGTCAGAGCCACGGTCATGGCCACCAGGGGCTTGGTCCCCTCCAGCCCCAGGTGGGCAGAGAGCTGGTCACCTGCCCGGGCTGGGAGCCCACAGCCACCCTGCAACTCCTGAGGGACCCACACCAGCCCTGGGGGCCGCATCCGAGTGGCGCAGCCCTCCCACCCACCAGGCCGCTGTGTCACAACATGGTGGCCGCCACCTCAGGGCTCCTCCCAGGACCCAGCTGGCTGGAGCCTCCAAAGAGAACACTGTCACCACTAGGCCCGTTTAAAGAGGAGACGTGGGCACAGAGAGGGTCAGCAGTTTGCCCAGGGTCACACAGCTAGGTCGGGGCAGAAGCAGGATCCGAACCTGGCTGGGCCAGGACCCGGATCTTCGGCCACACCACCAGACTCTCCACGGGAGACGGGCCCCGGAGTCCCCTGGAGGACATCGGGGGCCCTCATGTGCGCGGGTCACCGTGACACCATCTCTGGGCATCAGCACCCAGAGGTGACCAGGAGGAGTTCACGGCCGAGGCCCACAGGAGCCTCCTGGGTGAACCAGGCCTGGGGGGGAACTGGGCCGACACAAGCCAGAGAGGACACCAGACTGTCAAGTGCTGTGTCCCCAAGAGGGGGTGACCGGGCGAGGGAGCCGAGCTTGTGTGCCAGCCCAGGCCCTGGGGACATGGGAGCCTTTCTTTCTTTGTGGGGGCAAAGGGGGTACTGGGGACCGAACTCGGGGGCACCTGAGCCCATCCCCAGCCCTTTTTATATTTTACTTAGAGACAGGGTCTCCCTGAGCTGCTCAGGGCCTCGCTTTGGCTGAGGCTGGCCTCCAACTCTCAGTCCTCCTGCCTCAGCCTCCTGAGCGGCTGGGCAGATGCCGCCTTTCAGGGGCCACGTGGAGGAGGCAGGTGTCCTGGTGACCTGCCTGGGGGACAGGCAGGCTCTCTGAAGGGAGTACCAGGTGCCCCGAGGGTGCCTCCAGGTCCCTTCCTGTCCCCAGCCCCCCTCAGGCCAGCTCCACCGGACACTCACCTACGTTGATGGCCCAGCCTCGCTCCACCGCCAGCTTTCCCGCCTTTGGGGACAAACAGAGAGTGAGGTGAGGGGGCCTCTCCACCCGCTCCACCCACGGGGTTCCCGCCAGCTCCCTGTGGCCACCAGGGGAGGACGCAGGAGCCACCCACCCCAGCCCCAGCACACTCAGCCCTTCCTGGGCCCAACCCGCGACTGGGCAGGGGAGCAGAACCAAACTCAGGACTTGTCGCTACAAGAGGGTGATTTGATCTTGTTGGTTTGGGTCCCAGGAATTGAACCCAGCGCTGCTCGACCCCTGAGCCCCGTCCCCAGCCCTTGTCATATTTTATTTAGCGACAGGGTCTCATTGAGTGGCTCAGGGCTTTGCTAAGTGGCTGAGGCTGGCCTCCAACTTGCGATCCTCCTGCCCCAGCCTCCCGAGTAGCTYCCGCCCTACCTACCATGATGGTTCCTCCCGTCTGGATCCGAAGGGGCCGCAGCACCTTCCTCTGTACAAGGAAGTTGGGGAGGAAGATGACAGGGGGGATCTCTGTGATGGTGGCGACCGCGAAGGACCACTGCGGAGAGAGAGGAGGACCCAGGAAGTGAGACTCCCCGCAGCACCCGGGACGGTYTTGGTCTTGGGCTCCCTGGGTAAATGCACTTCCTGTGGCAGCAAGTGAGAGCCAGAGCCAGGCACAGCGCACTGGCCTGCGATCCTAGCGGGTCAGGAGGCTGAGGCAGGAGGATCGCAAGGTGGAGGCCAGCCTCAGCAACTTAGTGAGGCCCTGAGCAACTCAGCGAGGCCCTGTCTCTAAATAAAATACAAAAAGGGCTGGGGACGTGGCTCAGGGGTAAAGAACCCCTGGTTCAGTCTCCACCATGGAAGGAAGGGACAGAGGAAGGAGGGACAGAGGATGGGACAGTCGGAGGGAGGGCATGGCTGCAGGACCAGGTCAGCCCCAAGGTCCTGGGCACCTGAAGCCCTTGGCTGCCCTCTGGTGTCCACAGGAAGAACTGCAGCTGGATGGACCTAGGCCCGCCTGGGCGCCTGGCCAGGGACCCTGCGGCCCTGCACAGTCTTCTGCTCTTGCCCAGACACCTCCAGGTTCCGGGGCACACACACCACGCACTGACCCCAACCCTGCCTGGCTGAGATGCATCCGGGGCACTTTCCCCGTCACCAACCCCTGCAAGAGCCCCACAGGGCCCAGTGACAGGTCCAGGAACAAGTCACTCACCTGGCAAGCACTAGCATGACCCTGCTGGGCGCCCACCCTCAGGCCAGGCCGCTCAGCCTCGCTGGAGGCTCAAGCCCATGATCAACAGAAGCTGGGAGCCGGGGCCAGTGGTGCCCACCTGTCATCCCAGCGGCTCAGGAGGCTGAGGCAGGAGGATGGCAAGGTGGAGGCCAGCCTCAGCCACTTAGCCAGGCCCTGAGCCACTCAGGGAGACCCTGTCTCTAAATTAAATTAAACAGGGCTGGGGACGGGGCTCAGTGGGTCAGCATCCCTGCTAACCCCACCCAGCAAGGGCTCTGGGGCCAGGCTGGACAGAAGTGGGGTGGGGACAGGCTGGCTGGCAGCGGCCTCTTCCCTGGGCCCTGCCCTGGGCTGTGTGATTTTGGACACAGTCCTTGCCCTCTCTGTGCTTTGGGCTCCCCATCTGCAAACAGGGCCTCGAATGAGGCCTGTCCTCGGCTGTCTCCACTACCCAGACCCTCGGCTCTCCCTTCCCACGGCACTTGTCCCCGGTGGTCACTGTGTCCCTCACTAGGGTGGCAGTGCCTTGCCTGCCCTCCCGGCCCAGGATGCTCCTGGAACCGCCCGCAGCCGGGTCCCCACCCCTGGCTCTGCTCCTAAGGCTGTGGTGGCCCAAGGGTGGCAGTATCAGCACTGAGAATACGTCACACAGGCCGAAATGCAGTCTGCCCACCCACCCTGCTGCAGAGACCCCACTTTCCTGCGGCTGGGTCTCCCCTGCGGRCATCCTCACAGAGGTCCGGACCCAGGAGTGCGGTCAAGGAGGGACCAGCCACCCCACTGTTCCCGTGGAAGTGAACTCTGCCCCGTCCCCAGCCCCTTTTACATTCTATTTAGAGACAGGGTCTCCCTGAGTTGCTTAGGGCCTGGCTAAATGGCTGAGGCTGGCCTCCACCTTGTGATCCTCCTGCCTCAGCCTCCTGAGCCGCTTGGGATTAGAGGACGATGCCACTATACCCGGCCATCCCTAGGCCTTTTTATTTTTTATATTGAGACAGGGTCTTGCTAAATTGCTGACGGCCATGCTAAGTTACTGAGGCTGTTCTCCAACTTGCGTTCCTCCTGCCTCAGCCTCCCAAGTTGCTGGGATGACAGGTGTGTGCCATCGTGCCTGGCCAAAGGGCACTTCTTTTTTAACCTAAACACAAAAAAACAAGATAAACCAAACAATCCCCACAGTGAATATCATAATGGTAGACGACTTTCCACCTAAAGTCAGTGCTAAGACAAGTTGCCCGCTTTGCCGTTTCTACTCAACACAGTATTAGAGGGTCAAGCCTAAGCAATGAAGCAAGAAAAATAAATAAAAATGCACCCAGATTAGAAAGAAGTAAAACTGGGTCTATCCACAGAGGATACAAGGACAGACCCAGAAGATCCTGGAGAATGTACACACGCAAACACGGACATGAGAACAACACAGCAGAGTTGCAGGATGTAAGATCCATGTGCAAAAAACACTTGTCTCTCTTAAAAACGGAAATCAAGGAGGCCRTTCCATTAACAGCTTCGAGAAGAATCAACATGCTTGAGAATGAATTTAACCACAAGGTGGAAGACTGAGCTACGGAAAACTAGAAAACATCCCTGAAAGAGATGAAAGAAAACCTCAGCGAATGGAAAGACATCCCATGTTCATGGATGGGGAGACCAAACGCAGGGAAGAGGCAGGACCTCCAGAGGAGGCCCACAGACTGGAGGCCGTCCCCAGCCCTAGTTCGTATTTTATTTAGAGACAGGGCCTTGATGAGCTGCTTAGGGCCTCGCAGTTGCTGAGGCTGGCCTTGAACTCACAATCCTCCTGCCTCAGCCTCCCCAGCCRCTGGGATGACAGGCGTGGGCCACTGCACCCATCCTAGGGGTACATCTTTATGAGCTTGAATYTGGCAATGGGATTTCCACTTGGCCCAGCCATGAATGTTATCAGAACAGTTTTAAAGAGGAGAGAGGGAAGAGGAGAGGGAGAGRSAGAGACAGAGAGACTGACTGAGTCCAAGTTCCCATTCTCTCCCTCTCTACCAGGGACTTCTGCCCCCAGAAGCTGAGGTCGGTGACTCCATTACTTGGTAATTTTGTTTGTTGACTGGCTTTCCGACCTTTCAGCTCCACAGGGAAAGGAGTTGGCCTCCTATGTTCCATCCTAGCCCTGCAGCACCCACAACAGTGTCGGGCTCCTGGGYGTCCAAGGCCACATGCCCACGCTGCCCAGCACGGACCCGGACCGCAAGACACAGGGTCATGGAAGTCTGCAGAAGGCAGGAGCCCAGCACTGGCTGCACCCAACTGCCTCCCTCCATGGGCAACTCTGGACCTTGCACACAGTAGGTGCTCAGTAAACATGGGTTTCCCTGCTTTGATGTTTTGTTGCAAACATCCGATGGCTTTTCTCCTCCGTGCCCTGTGCATGGACACTCCTGCGGGGCCGGGCATGAAGCCCAGAACTGGGGTGGGGACAGAGAGGGACACAGCAGGGGACAGGGTGACCATTACATAACTCACAGAGAACAGCCACGGAGCTGTTCTCCGGGATCCCTGCGGGGACACTGCAGGGCTCTGTCCTCAATCCCACAACAGAAAACAGGTACCAGAAACCGCACTTGATGCTCTCTTTCTCTTTTTTTTTTGGTACCAGGGATTGACCTCAAAAGCCCTCAACCCCTGAGCCCCATCCCCAGCCCCATTTTGTACTTTATTTAGAGACAGGGTCTCGCTGAGCTGCTCAGGAGCCTCGCTTTTGCTGAGGCTGGCCTCCAACTGGCGATCCTCCTGCCTCAGCCTCCTGAGAGATGCTCTTGTGCGATTATCTCGGTTTCAAGCCTCCACAACTGACCGGCAAATCCACAGAGGCAGGAGCCCTGAGCCGCATTCTTCTCTTGGCGCTCAGCACACCATTGGCATGGAATAACATGTGTGGCCTGACCAGTTCTTAGTAGGCATCTTGGAAATCACCACATTTCCCCTTTTGCTCTGGCTGCCAGGGAGCTCCATGCTGAATGGACAGCCCACCTAGTACATTCATTTTCCCCTTCAGTTGCAAAGCCTGTGTTCTCCTCCGGCCTCAGTCTATACCTAGGACTGTCCCTGCTCAGACCTTTTAAATCATAATTCTTTATCACGAAGCAAGCTGCTCCYGGGTTTTTGGAAGGAAGGGGCCAGGAATGGACAGGCACAGCCTCTCTCTGGGCCTCGCTTTTCTACCCACACATCAGGGGCCTGCTGACCTCTGGCACCCACATRACTGAGTCCACTGTGAGTCCAGCCAGGCAGCTGGGGGTCAGGCCTCGCTAACCCGGCCCCACCCCCGAGGCAGGCTGGCAGGAGCTGATCCCCAGCAGCCACACACTCCTGCCTGCTCTGTGCTCCCACTAACGGGACCCAAATGCCCGGGGCCCTCGGAACCTCAGCCACTAACAGGAGCTGTGAGGTCTCCCCCAGAGAGGGGTCCCCAGTGGGCAGCCGGGGGGGCCCAGGTTGGTCTCCATGTGGACTTTTAAAATCTTATAAGAAGCCCACACCTGTCCTCCCAGTGGCTCAGGAGGCTGAGGCAGGAGGATGGCAAGGTGGAGGCCAGCCTCAGCAAAAGCGAGGCCCTGAGCCACTCAGCGAGACCCTGTCTCTAAATAAAAATCAATAAAAAGGGCTGGGGACAGGCTCAGGGGATAAGCAGCCTGGGTTTAATCCCTGGTGCCAAAAAGAAAAAAAACAAAAMAAAAAAAACAAGTTGCCACACTCATAAATAAGAAAGTCTCATGTAATCATCTGAATTTCTGGCTTCTCTTAGAAAGCCAGGTGCACTGGCCACCTGGGGCCCACTGTGGACCACCGTGGAGGTGTCCCAGGTCTGTCACCTGCCCACCAACTTCTTTATGTCCCCTTCTGATCCCTGGGGATGGCTGAACTAGTCTTTAGCCCAACAGGTTTTGGCAAGTCTTTATGAGAAGTCACTGGAACTGAATCTTAAAGTTCAGCCTAATACAAAAATAGGCAGAAGCAGAAAACGGTGAGGTGGATGGGGACAGGGGACAGGGTCTCCTCTCCCCGACTGCAGTCGCCCCAGCAGGGTCTCTGAGATCTGTTCGCGGAGCCCAGGCTGAAAGTCACCAAAGTAGAAGTGACTGCGTCCCACGAAGCAGAAGGTTCAGGAGAAAACCCTCAGTTTCTCTCCTTCTTTTCTTTCTTTCTTTTTGGTCCCAGGGATTGAACCCAGGTTGACTACCCCCTGAGCCCCGTCCCCAGCCCTTTTTCTATTTTATTGAGAGACAGGGTCTCGCTGAGTTGCTCCATTGCTGAGGCTGGCCTCCAACTTGCGATCCTCCTGCCTCAGCCTCCCAAGCCGCTGGGATCAGAGGCGTGCGCCACGGCGCCCAGGTGAAAGCCCTGTTTCCACATCTCCTGACCAAGGGGAGCTCACTACACACCAAGAAGGCTTTCTGTGGCCTCTGTCTTCTCCCCCAGAGAGAAGTGACTCCCCTGTTCCTCCTTCAATAGGAACAGAGAGGATGGCCTGAGGCCCAGCGCCCACTCTGGCCACGCCCCTGGTGGGAGGAGCCTCAGGTCCCCAGTGCCCTACCTTGAGCTCGTTGAGGTAGCGCCTCGTGTGCACCACCAGCAGGTCCTCCTCCGAGGCCTCCCGCGCCTCCACCAGCATGCCRTCTGACAGCAGGTTTTCCTCTGCAACAGACAGACAGACAGCGCTGCTTCCTCCCGCTCACCTCCTGCCCACCCRGCCCTCCCCGGCTGCAGACTGGACCTGCAACAGCCCTGTCCCCAGAGCTGCCTCAGGCTTCCCAGGCCACCAAGACAGCAGGCCTGTCCTCCACGCCCACCTGGCCTCRGCTCACATCTCTGTCACCAAGCGTGAGTGCCAGTTGAGCCACAGCCACCAGCCAGGACTGGATGACGTAGCTGTTTCATGGCTTCTTTTTAACCATGACCTTCTATCTTTGGCCMGTGAGACTGGCTTTTCCCATTTAGATGACATCATGTTTCCTCTTCTATCAAATTTAAGTTTGTTAAAAAAAAAMACAACCCAGAGGCGAAGTCATTAAAAATATGCAGTAAATAGTGGAACAGGTGGTATGAAGAGCCTGGCAGGCTCCCAAGAGTGGGTTGCCAGTGACTGGTGTTTGGGCAACACGGCGTGATTTCCAATTCCCTTACGTCGCGTCAAGATTTGCTCCATTTTRCAAAAGTAGAACCTGTGGCAGCTGCCCACGCCTAGAATCCCAGCCCCTCGGGAGGCCGAGGCAGGAGGATCGCAAGGTGGAGGCCAGCCTCAGCCACTTAGCGAGGCCCTAAGCCGCTCAGCGAGACTCTGTCTCTAAATAAAATACAAAATAGGGCTGGGGACGCGGGGCTCATGGTTGAGGGTCCCTGAGTTCAATCCCAGGTACAAATCAATAAAAAAGCAACAGAAATCAGCCCTGGTGGGAACCAACTAGTGCCATACAAGTTTTCTATACAGAGCTCCAAGCAGGAACTGCATTCCAGAATATTCCATGGCTCCTTCCTTAGCAGGGCATCCAAGGCCCCTCGCCCCATGGCTCCTGCCTCCCTCCCATGCCTCTCAACTCACTACGGTTGTCACCGTCCCTGTCACCTGTGACTTTATGCTTCCTGTTTTCCTCTGAATGCCCGCTCCAGCCCCTACTGCAAATGGAAAGCCAGCCTCACTAGCCAGAGAGAAAAAAACAACCAGAAATTTAAAAGATATACGATGGAAAACAGCCAAGGTTATTCATCTCCAGTTGGACCCTATTTTCCACAGGACTCAGAGCCCGAGCCTCGCTCTAGCTTTTGAGAAAAAGAGAACCRGGCTTAGGTGTCAAGGACAGGCTCGCCCCAAGATGGGACCTTGCCCATGGTGTGGTCAGGAGGGACGGGTCAGATCCCAGGGCATCCCTTTGGATGCTCTGAAGGAGAAGCATCCAGGAGAAGCCAGGAGTGGGCGGGGCCTGCAGACTCCCCCTGGGCTTCAGGCTGGCAGGRTGCTGTGTGTTTTAGGCATGTTGGCAACCTTTCTGGGCCCCAGTTTCCCCATCTGTCATCAGCCAACGTTGGAGCAAAAGCACTCCAGGTCCCAAGTTCTCTGAGTGGGTATTAGACTCCTTCAGACTCCCACGTCCCTGGGTCTCGCGTTAGCCAACTCCTCCCTGTGGGTGTATGGGACAGAGCGGGGACYTCATCCACAGCAGTGGGGAGCCACAGAGGGTGACTCAGGAATGCATCGTGCTTGGGAATCTGTTCTAGAAGATGCTTTTGCCACAGGGAGGAGCACAAGGGAATGTGACAGTTGAATCCAGAGGTAAGAGTCTGACACTCCCGATGAGAATGAGGATGGGAAGGATGCGGGGGTGAGGAAGCCCACGCAGGGCCCCAGGAAAACCTTCCCTACCTTTTAGGAAATTGATCACCTTGCCCCATTTCCCGGCATCGAAAGGGTGCAGCTTCTCCAGGCCCATGAAGGTGATGTTGTAGCGCGGGGAGTACACGATGGGCCAGTGTGTCTCTGGCACATGCTGGTAGAGCTGGCTGGAGTGTGGCCTTCCGTGCACAGGAGGACAGACACACACAGCTGGGTCGGCCCTGGTGTGCAAAGCAGCCTCCCCGACCCCTGATCAGCCCCCACTGACCCCCTCTGCTGCAGACCAGGGCCACTGAACAGAAATCAGAATCCGGACAGGTCTGCACGGAGGAGCCCTTGGCGGCTGGCCCTGAACCAGATTCCAACCCAGTCCTCCCTCCCAGCAGTCCCAGGAGCACCGCGCCACAATTGCACCCGACTCTCCAGGGACCAGGTGTGCCCAAGGTCACACGCTCAGTCGTTGGGTGCAGCAGTCGTCAGCGCACCCAGGTGTGGGGGCCTGCAAGGCCCAGGCCTCCTGGGCCTCGGCTTGGCCCCAGGCTGTGCGGTGGCGGCTGTGGCCAGGGCTGCACGAGTGCATCCAAGGAGCGCGCACGGCAGGGCTCGCGGGCGGGGATCACTTGGGGGCCACGCAGCTGTCCCCCTCCTCCCAAGCCCCATGGGGACCCGAAACCTGCTCTGGCCGCCGCCGTGGGGACATCCGCATAGCTGCTGGGGCCTGGGCTGGGGCAGGCCGCGCACGAGGCCGCCCCGCCAGCTCCGGGGGCCGTCCCTGCGACCCGGAGATGACCAGGGGGCGACCAGCGGGCTGGCCTGCGCACCGGGCCCAGTGACCCTCGCCCGCCAGAGTGGGGCCCGCACCTGGCGCACTCGCGCCCCCGCTCGCAGGGACCCCGGGGACCCTCCGGGCTGCGCTGGCGCCCCGACCCGCACCCACCCCGGCTTCACTCACATCGCGGGGCCGGGCCCTCCCAGCGCTGGCCGCCGCTCCGCCACCGGGCAGGGCGGGGCGCGGGCGGGGCGGGGCCGTCTCAGGACACGCCCCTAGCCGCGGCCTGCTCGGCCGGGGAGGCGGAGCTCCTCCCGACTCCGCCCCCCGCGCCGGCGCCTGCGTCACAGAGGGATGAAAGCCCGCGCAGAACTGGAACGCAGAAAGGAGGCCTCGCCCCCAGCACCCCGTCACACCCGAAGCCCCGCCCTCCTCAGACGAATACCCAATAGGATCCCGCAACGTTCGGAAGGCCACGCCTTCGGGGGCGGGCCGCGTGGGATTTCACCCCGGCCGCGTCCAAGAGGAACGTGCGGCGGCGGCCCGCCCCGGGGGCGTGGCCACGCTGCGCCCCGCCCCCGTGCGCGCCGCCCTCTGGGAGCTCTCCTAGTCCGCTCCAACCTGCTTTCCCGGTGCGCGGTGCCGCAGACGCGCCGTGAGACTCCGGGCCGGCGTCTGCGCCTTCTGGACCTGGGCTTGCAGTGGCGAGCTGCGGGGACGGAGGGCGTCGCTCGGGTCTTACTCCTAGTAGAAGTCGCGATCCCTCCTGCTCGGAGGCCACTCCGGCGCCCTCCGGGATCGCAGCCCTCCTCCCGGTCCCGCTGTGGGCAGCTGCGACCGGGGCAGGAACTCCCCATGCAAATCCTGCAGGCCCTCTGGTCCTCGGTTTCCCCGTCTGTGATCCAGGCTTCAGGGTCCACCGGGGTACCTGTGCACAGTCCCCGTCCCCATCCCCCACCACGGTGTCAGTACACAGCCCTGTCCCC